CGCCGACGTCACCGTAACAAAGAACGAACTATAACACAACCAACCGGCAAACAGAAAAAGGAACTGCCACCTACAACTGATTTTTTTTTTTTTTGCACAACCCAGAATATATGAGACTTCATATAACATTATTGTGGACTTGTAGTGCATGTCAACAGATGTCGCCAACCCGTTCTTGTTTAAGGACTCGGCAATACCACCCCACAAACTGTCTAATCATGGCACCAAATGCACTCCTAGGAATAACATGTTCGGATCAATAAGGCATCATGGCAGTTCCTGGCTATCTAGCTCCTCTTATTAGAGGAACTTGAAATTACCAATGAGAAACTAAATTTTAAACACAAAATATATGCATATGTCTCCTAAGTTTGAACCCATACTCACACATATTATACAAATGGCATTGGGACACAAGATAGGCCTCAATGAAAGTAGTTGTATACAACAAGCCCAAAGCGCCCTTACTTGGTTACCCAAATGTTGACACGTAAACGTAAGAATCTCGAATTAAAAAAGCTGACTACTCCAATTCAATTATACAAACAAAATATACCTATACGTAATTGAAAATGAAACATTTAAATGCAAACATGAACATCCATACAATACTGTTACAATTAAAACAACCGTCTTGAGTCGCAGTTTAAAATTGCGCTACATCAGAATAATCAGCGTCGCTACAACCGGCTAGTCAAACCTATATATATACTACCAGTCATTGATAAACGACTAAAAACTTTTGAAAAATATAAATAAAAACTAGAGTTTGGCTTCGAAATTTGCGATACTTCTAATAGTAATTTTGAACATAAGAAATTTCTACGGAAATATTGAACAAAAGAAAAAGCAAACAGAATTGTGACGCGAATTGCACATAAGCCATTCTTACCCACATCAAAAAGCACGAGCCCAACCACCACAAGCTTTGTGCATCTCCACTAGATTTGGAGGCCAAGTGGTAGGAATGGTATTATAGGGATAAGAATATAAACTGTCAACACTCACACCAATACATGATCGCAGCCAATTAACCATCGAACACCGCAATACAATCAATTCAAGGTCCTAGAAGAAGAGATGATGGCGAAGGATACGGTTGCGATCTCAATCAAAAGTATAACAAATTAATTTTTGGTTTTAATTCAATCAAGAGAAACACTGGAGAACAAGTAAAAACTTCAAAATAAATCTTAAGATCAAACATTGGTGGTCAAGAGGGTGTACTCGTCGGATTTACAAGAGAACACAACCGGGGGAATTACTACAGGATTTACCGAAAGGAATTAGAAGAAGGCCAAAGTGAAGTGTTTCATGAGATGGCTCTCGACACAGTGATAAGGAAACACTTGCTAGAGCTTTAAAGTGAGGTCACACTAGAATCTACGTACGTCTAGAAACTTCGCTTAGGCGATCAATAGAAAGAATCAACACGCTAAATTTGAACGAGTAGAAGGCATAATTGATTAGTAACAGATGAGCATCTCTAAACAGACCAGTTTACATGTGCGTCATAGGTTGCTTATGACGTGCCAAACTTCAACAGAAGTGTTGGGCAGGGTCGAGATGAATTAGCAACTACGAATGACAGATAAAAACTTTTAAATTTCAGTCCTGAATGAGTCTGTGCACATGACTCGAACAATCGAAGCTCAAAGTGAGTTATTTTTGATAAAAGTTTGAATAATTTCAGCCCAGAGTGCGTCATTGATCACAGCGACTTTCAATAAGTCTAAGATCACCGTTGCTATTAGACTTAACTACGAAATCTAACACTAGGGAAGTATCACAAAGCCGATACACGATGTGAGGCTTGGTAGATCCTCCGCACATTTGCTCGCATAACAATAATCAATGCATCATATAACTTTTACATTCTTCTATACAATCTCTCATGAGACTTCACAGTGAAAAATTTGTGCAGCACTACCAGGAAGTGATTGCTGCACAAGCTACAATTTGTAAATTCTATTAAAAATGGCACTACAGAACTGAGGCAGATGATAATTGCATGCAAGGCGAGCGTCTATGAAGCATATAGAAGGCAGCAAGAGAGGGCAGAGCAGCGGTTGAGACTTGCTCGTGAAAAGATTGTAATCGACAGGAATAGATAACCCTGCGAATCTCAAAGGCTTACATCAAGAACTAGGAGAGTTAACCCATTATACAAGCAAAATCCTTCGTCTCCACAGGATAAGCGATTGGATTATAGCAGTTCTGCATTCATTAAACACATCCATGCATTAAAACAGATTGTAAATATCCACAGCTAACACGTAACATATTCTCCAGCGCAACCTAGTACAGTGTGATGCATTTACCATCTTCCCAATACAAAGAATAAACCACTGTGTTTCTTTCCGCACTTCCATGGAACAAACGTGAGTTTATGAAGAAAGAGAACCTCCTGAAGAAATTGATCTTGAGTGTTGTACATTACTTGCCTCCTTCTAAAGAGGTTCACAAATCAGTAGCCGATTAGGTTAGCAATCACAATAGAAGTTTCTGAGCCCTGTAATAGCAAAGACTTCGAGACTATCAGCCACGCTAGGATAGCGTGGCTGATATAAATAAGTTCAGGCTGGGAAAATGAAGAACGAAAGGACCATAAAATCTCTAGAATTGTAATAATTAAGGCATTCATTCACAAAAATTTCAGGCTTCGAGCAAGCAGAGCGCGACAAGAGCGTTAAATAAGACAGCGTGGACTGAACAGGAGCAATGGCTAAAGATCCATCACAAGTAAGTCAAACAATCACGAGAGGTGACCTCGAGAAGAAGTTGCAGTTGAACATCCCGAATGGAAAGCAACACTGCTATACAGGCATAATCCCACTGTATGCGAGCCAGTAAAAAAGTAATCCCTAGAAATCCTATTATACTAATCTTTAGTCTCAATTTGTCGACAAATAAATGACATTGGGGAAAATCAGTAACAAGGATAATAACTTTTAAGTAGACACGCCCAACGGATAAATTCGAAATTTTAGGAATTATCTCATCTCTATTATTTTCGATAAAAAATTGAAGACTTCGGGCGCCATCCTAGCACACACAATTCAATTAACATCATTTAAAATAATCTGGTATATGGCACAGAAATTTGCGATATGTCGCATATAAAGTCATACTTTTCATTTAATTGCCGTTTAAATATAGTCACAAGTAAATGAGTGACTCGATACCTATAAACGCAGGTGCAAATACGCAAAGGTCAAAGTGTGACCAGCCCACTGATATACCTATAGATCAATATAAAACATCAAGCATTTTTCTGAGGCAAGATGATATACTGGAATAGCGTGAAAAGTTGTCGGCAGATCAACTTGGGATAACGTCCGACATGCTCGGACGTTCTTTTCCCAGCCACTTTGCAAGTCAGAGCTCGACTGCTGTGATGACGGATCCGTGTAATGTCAGGAATCAATCTCGCGCATGGAATCAGTCTCGCATCTCTTTCTGGTAGCATTTGATTAAGGATCTAATATTCTCTACTCATTAGTGTAAAGTTGATACGTTCCTCATCCAGCTGCAGTAACATTCCTATTTTGTCATGTCGATGATTTTTTATGATATATTAAGACACAGATGATTCTGATAGAAGCTTTTGGCAAAGAAAATGAAAAAAAAATTATGTTGAAAAGTATTTAAAGATATTGACTACATTATTAGGTTTCTCGATTTGTTAAATACCGTTGGAGTTTGAAGAAGAACACCGCTGTTTTGTTATTTTTTGTGTAAAAATAACGAGTTCCAAATCTCCACAATAAGTCGCCTTTGCTTACACATTCAGATCAGCGTAAAACGATAAATAATTGTAATATTTGAAACGAAAGATTTTGCTTGTATACGCACACATTACATTTCCTGTACAAATAATTTCTCTCATCGGTACTACCAATAGAGAAAGGTCTACAATATTCTTGTATGCTACAATAATTAAGACATTAGAAAGATTCAATCACAAAGACAAAAAATGGAGTTAAATAACTGAACAAATATCGTCAACTACTTCGAAAGAAGGTGAGTCTGGAACACGCTTGAGCAGGTTCACTTTCCCGTTAAACAAAAATAATAAATGGAGGTGATATCCAAGAAACTTGAAGACACAATCAACAGCAACCCAACAAAAGAACTTAAATAAAAATAAAAATTTCAATTAATCAATGCTAGGTAATCAAGATTAAAATAGCATAAGAACAGTGAAATGTGAATTTTTATGACAAACAAAAAAAAAAACAAGCATCAATTGTGCATTGGAAATAAGGTATAAAAAAGCCAAACATTTTTTTGGTTTGACCTGCAAGAAACTATCGATGATTAATTAATGCTTTTCAAAGTAATTTGATCAAATATCTTGAGAATCACTGCTTTACCGCATCCTGCATCCTGGTAACAAGATTATACGAGTTGGGTTACAGGCAAGCGCTAGATGATGTTACCATCTCGAAGAAAATTTGTACTTGAAATCCATTTTGCTACGAGGTTAAATTCAACAGCTGAACTAACAGAAGTCTAGATTTATGCTCATCGAGCAGAATAGAAATAAGAGTGACGTTTCTTGAAGGCCCAGTGCTGTACACCGTGGCCGCTGAACGACTGAGCTGCACCACCCTGAAGACTGCGTCAGTTATGTGCCGGCACACTGCCCTCAGTGACGCCCGAACTGCTGGACGAAGGTGACGGGGGATTGATAGGGTTGCGGGAGGGAGAGTTTGGATTCAACGGTGATGGAGAGCTGAGGTTAGGCGAGGGAGAGTTGGTGTTAACGGAAGAAGAGCTGGCGTTCAGAGAAGGAGAGTTTGGGTTCTTGGAGTGAGAGCTGAGGTTGCGGGTGGGCGAACTGAGCTTGAGGGAGGGAGAACTAGGGCCGGGTGGCAAGGACGACGCGGTAGCTGCAGCTGGATTGCTATGAAAAGTATTAAGTTGGGTTGGGGAACGGTTAGAAGAGACGCTGTGCCTATTGGCTTGCGGCGAATTACTAGTTTGCATTGCAGAGGACTTCAACGGACTTGAGGAGAAGGGGAGAGGTGACAACTTGAAGTAAGTGGAGCGCGGAGAGAAGGAAGAGTACTTGGGCGTAGATGAAGAGCTGGAGGAGAAGCTAAAGGAAGATCTGGTGGTGGATGGCGAGCAAGGAGTAGGAACTTCGGCAATACTCGGGGGCTGAGCAGCGGCAGCTGCACAGGCGGCGGGTCACTGCTGCTGCCCCCGCAAGAAGCTGCGCCGCTGCGGCTCGGGAGTGTAGTAGGGGCGGCTTTTGTAGAGGGCCTCCTGGCTGTACCTGCGCACAGCGTTACAAAATTAACGGGTCTCCTGACTGTACCTGCGCACAGCGTTACAAAATTAACGGGCCTCCTGGCTGTACCTGCGCACAGCGTTACAAAATTAACGGGTCTCCTGACTGTACCTGCGCACAACAATACATAATTAACGGGTTTCCTGTCCTGGCTGTACCTACGCACAGCATTACAAACTTAGCGGGCTCCATGGCTGTACCGGTACACAACATTAACTATTAACGTGATATATGGGAAATTGTGGCCGTAGTGACGTCACTCACCTGTAATGCGGTAAGGAGAGAGTGACGTCACTAACCTGTAATGCGGTGAGGAGAGCGTGGCGCCACTCACCTGTAATGCGGTGAGGAGAGCGTGGCGTCACTCACCTGTAATACGGTGAAGAGAGCGTATAATGCGGTGAAGAGAGCGTGGCGCCACTCACCTGTAATGCGGTGAGGAGAGCGTGGCGCCACTCACCTGTAATGCGGTGAAGAGAGCGTGGCGCTGGCTGCCGCAGACGGAGGAGGGGGCGACACCGAAGAGTCCGTCCGACTGCGGCTAGCGCTCCTGCTCGTCCTAGCTGAGAGCTTCGTCGTCGCCTGCACAAACTTGACAACCTGAGTGAACTCTCCTCTCGACAGTCGGCAAGCGTTCACAGCTTGCCATGTTCAACTGGGCAGCAACTTGATCATTTTGTAAACATCGTTAACTAGGACAGTGTAGGCTAGAGCAGCAACCAGGTCACGTTGGAGAGCATATAAGCATCACTAACATCAGTGGAGGTGCACCCACCTGGGCGGCAGCAGCCGCTCCTGCCGCTGCCCCCGCAGCCCGCGTGTCGACAAGCCTCCGTGAAACGAGGGGGGACGCGTGGGGAGGGTAGTAGCTCGGGGGGTACCTGAGACGGGGAAAGCAGTGGGTTACACACAAAAATTTGGAAACTCTTATTAACTCTTAGTCGGTCACTCCAGGTAAGTCTTTAGTAGTCACTCTGAGCCAATATTTTGTTGTCACACAGAGTGAATCTTTGGTAGTTGCTTCGAGTAAGACTTTGTAGTTACTCCGAGTGAATCTTTTGTAATCAACCCGAGTACTAAGTCTTTGGTACCTACTCCAAGTAAATCTCTGGTAATCACTCCGAGTAACTTTGTAGATTCAAGTAATTCCTTAGTACGTAATCACTCTAAGTAACACCCGGGTTGTCATCTCGGGCTCATAAAAAAGTTATGCAACCTCGTTACCGCGCATCATGCTACCCGAGATATTTATTTAAATATACATTTCAAAATTACCTTACGTATTGTGTAGTTACAGATGTCTGTACAACAACATAAATACACCGATAAAAGTGCTAGTAAATCATAGAAAAAACAAGCTTCAATAAATACTATATAGGGTTTAACACATTAATTAGAGCACTATAGTACAGTAAATATAGCCGAGGAAAACGAATCCGAAGCTCATGACGTCTGAAAACAATGCTGAATACAAATGCAAACAGAGAATACAAAATAAATAAATTAGTTAATTACAAAGAGGCTGTAAGTTAAGAGGCGTGTCTTACCGTGAGGTATCGTAACATCAATATGATTGTTGATGTACTCGTAGTACTTGTAACTCCATGTAAAAGCCAAAAAATTATTAAAACCGTAAATAAAAAAGAATGATTAAGAATAAGAAACGAATTTGATTATAAATTTCTTATCGGTAAAGTTAGTGTCATTACAAAATAAGAATGGACGATGAGTGAACGAGTGATGTAACAATGAGCCTATCAGATGAAATATTCATACAGTCATGTCTTGCAAGTCATCGAATGAACAAGTACATACACTGGAACTATAAAAGAAATATTTTCGAAATTAAGAGAAAATTAAATCTGAATGTCCAGTGTAGGCAATGCGTCTATCCATAAGCATTATTCCCGTGCGCCGCTTCACTTCTGAGGAGAGATTACCTGGGGCCATACTTTCAAAACCCGCCAAGTGAACGTAAGTACTTACGCTCTATTTTCTTGTCTATGATTGGTGGATTTGGCTTGAAAGGCCGTAAATGATTGGCTGATGAATTTACGATCTCTTAACTTTTTCTTAACTTTCAAAAAAAGTTAAGAGATCGTAAATTCATCAGCCAATCATTTACGGCCTTTCAAGCCAAATCCACCAATCATAGACAAGAAAATAGAGCGTAAGTACTTACGTTCACTTGGCGGGTGTACCTGGACCGCGTTGACAAACATACCTGACTGCGGACGTGCCGGAGATGAACGCAAAGACGAACTCAAATCTAACCATGCCAGGGCGCCAATACAACAACAGTGCTATTAAACAAGATGCGGAGACGTTCATGCAAACGAGATACACATTTTCACAAATTCACATGACGGAGTTTCTCGGCCAAAGAGAACTGAAGTCTAATCATTTACTAAGTATGAATTGTGCGACAGAAATTCTGATAGTTCTAAGGAGTTTCATAGAAGCTGAAGAGTTCAGACATTCAGCCATTGATTGCCGATAGTAGAACCTCAGTTCCCTTGAAAAATTGGAAAAGCGGCGGTATACCGTCGAAATCAAGATCATAAACAGCGACTTTATTTGATCGGAATGCATTGCATGCGTGCTCAACAGCAAGAGAATAATAATATAAAATATATCGGTCATGCTACTGATTTAATAATAATATCAGTCGCAATGAACAAGATGTGCGCTTTGCAAATATAACTATTAACCTCCAATTGGAAAGGCATGCAGGGGCGATAGCAAATGTCACTACCTGCAGTCAGAGAAGAAATTAACAGTAGACTGCATTGGGCGGGTGTGCAGAGCTGAACAGGCAAAAAACGAGGAAAGCATTCAAAGACACAAACAAAGCAAATATGAGGTAATACACGTACGGTATACACGTAAGAAAACACGACAATTGATCAAGTTAAGATAATTTAAGAAATACGAGCGAAAGATTATGAAACATAACAGTGATGAGTTGAATATAAATGGATGCTAAAGAAACCTTCAAAAATATTTTCGATATGGGGCTGAGAAATGAAAGCATGGGACAACATAAACGCTCATCTGCTGTGATAAAAAGTACTAAATGCCGTGCTGGGAAATGCAAGCATGAAACGAGGAACACGTTCATTTGTTCCGATACGTAGAAAATGTAGTGCCGAAAACTGCAGTGCTTGGCATTGAACGCATGGAACACGGCAGACGTTAATCTACTCCAACACGAAGTAAAAAGTATACTGCAGCGAAATGCAAGCATTGCCAAAAGAAGTTTTGAACTGCTTCAGCATGAGGATAACAATTTGCTGAGAAATGCAAGTGGAGGCTGCGTTCAAGACTGGAACACGAGAAGCTATAAGCGCCTCATGAGATGCACGAAGCGATGGCGCCACGTACCTGGAGGAGAGCGCCCCTCGAGAGGTGTAGGAGTAGTATGACGACGAAGGGGCGTTGCTAGTGTGAGTCAGGGAGGAGAGGATGGGGGAAGACGTGGGGTTAGGAGAGGCGTAGGAAGGTAAGGAGGTGGGGCCAGACGAGGAGTACGAGGAGTAAAGAGGGGCGCCAGAGTACGAGAGGTCGGAGGACAAGGAGCGGAAGTGGGAAGCGGGTTGTGCGAACCGCCCTCGCGGGGCCCACGGTTCAGGATTGAACCTGGTGACGTCGGCAGCGCGGGAGGGGGAGAAAAGTGAGCAGCTTGTAACTCGGCGACCATTAACCAGGATCATGTGTGTCAAGTGAGCAGCTCGTAAGACAGCAACCATTAATCAGGATTCAGGATCAACGTGTCGAGTGAGCAGCTTGCAACAGAGCAACCAAATACTAACTATAGGATCAACGTGTGTCAAGTGAGCTGCCTGCCGCAAAGCACAATTCTCAAGTAAATCCAAAATATTTCAAACAATTTAACTCCTTCAGTTTCAGAAGGTGTATTTTCATAGTAATATTCAAGCCGGTCGGTACTGCGGAATGAGATAGTGGATGGTTGGAATCTGACCATTGAACACACGAGGGCTATTTGCAGACGCAAGCAAGTTAAATTCACATGATATCACATACAAAAGGCAATAATTAAGTTCTGCAACAACTTGAAGAGCAAATGCTAGCGAGGTTCCAAGAGAAATCGATCACAGGGGGCTAAAGCGTGCAGATATTCGTCGTAAAGCAGCCGTCGCAAAAGAAGTGCGTCGAACGAGGCACGCGATGTTAAACTCTATACGATCACCGAACTTGGCTCAGCTCCTCAGTCTCGAAAAGCACAAATCCAAGGCTAGTGGGCAAACCAAATATATGTATATTCACTACCAAAGTACATTTGCAGAACACACATTAGACCTTTTGTAGGAAATCAGGATCAATAAAAGGATTAATATGTACGGATTGTCGAGGCAATTACGGGCTTCATTGAAAAATTCATATTTTTTGAAGAATGTGATAACTTGGAGATTGATATGAAAGCTAGCCTATTATTATTGGCATCAGTGCAGGGCTTTCAGAACGTTAGAGATGGAGAAGTAGGCAACGTGTACCTAATTTCTCGTGTACACGACGATACAAATTAAAGTGCATCTCTTGCTCAGACTTGCACATAATAATCAGCTGCACGCTCAGCCTTTACTTTATTGTTCCGTGGAAATCAAGCTGATCTCATGACCACAGACACTCGACCGCGCAGCAAGCGAGCGACTTGACGTTAATGAATGTAACGCGTCATGAGGGAAGTGAAATGAGAATTCAAGTATTAAATATCATGATGTTAATAACAAAGCGAAAGAGTAAGGTTAGGGGTGCAGCACAATCAAGAGTTCATGATTAAGCGCTTCTAAGTAATGCAACAGTTAGACGCCTTGAACAATGTTAGTGGAACACAACAATCTTTTAGAATTAGGCTTCAAACAGAGAAAGCTACAAGTAACTGATCCCAAGCACCAAGATATTGAATTAAAAGCATGGCTAAAGTTTGGACACCTCAGCAGATGCCCTAGAAGAACAGTATTAGCAGACACCAATGACCACAATATCTACAAATAACATAACAGGTTAACGCCCTCTTAAAGTAATGACAGCAAAGATGCATGGAAGGTAGCCATAATTTCATAAACAGATATGAACCTTATTTCGCTTGAATACTTGTAATAATATTTGCTTGCTTAAACTGCCAATTTTTCAATAATTATAGCAAATAATTTTTTATTGACAAATAACTAGACATGTTTTAAATTTTAATTCCTGAACATGTCAGTCCTTATGAACGTTTTCTTAGCACAGAACAAATTTGGAGATTATTACCCATATCTAGATTAAATTCAAATAACTCTCCACCCGCTAAATGAATGAGAACAAATATAGTTTTTTAAAGACCAAAATCTGCAACAGGACTGATTTATGAAAAAATATCCGAAATAACCAAGTAAATTCCTAGTCACAAGTCGTCTGGTTTAAAGACGATTGGGATTTATGCCCTGAGTTCAGCAATTAATGAGATAGCAATACATTTTCATACATACAGCCAATACATTTTCATTTAGTTTCATGTTAGTCAAGTGCTAAACAATAACGGCAGTATTAATTAATACTAAAAACACAAGACGCCCACACAAGCATCAACCCCTCCTGTTATAAAAATGAAGCATAAAACAGACAAGCCCTACAACGAGAGGCTTGACAAGATCCACATACCTTACAGGCTCTGGCGTCTTACGAAGAGGAGGAGGCGTAAAGGAAGCAGAAGATGAAGAGGTAGTGGAAGATGAAGCTGACATGGTGCCACCGCTACTACCACCACCACCACCACCACCACCACCAGATCCACCAGTGCCGGTGTAACACCTGCCGCCTCCACCACCACCACCACCATTGTCTCCTACACGATTGTGACTACTACCATATTTATGGTGACTACTGATGTGTCCTACGCTAAGCATCAAAGGATTTGTGAAGCTGTTATCGCTAAAGGTGTCAACACCATAAGAAAAGTTACTACCATTACTTTGTCCGAGACCACCGACAGGGCTGGTCTTGCTACCTTTGTACTGCTTACCCTTAGAAGTGGCACAGTAGTTACGAGAAGGCATATATGGGTTCTGGTAAGGTATGTTACTATAACTAGACGTGCTATTGTAACTTGTGCTAACAGGGGTCGTGTTATCTCTTGAACACTCAGAATAATTGGGACCAACACTCAGTTCTCTAACACCAGAACTAAGTTCTCTATCTCCTGCATAAAGTTCTCTAGTATCACCGTGATGGTTGCGGCCTAACATCGATGCCAAAGCTGGGCCAGGTCTCGAGTGAGTTGGGGATTGTCTATTCATTATGCTCCTGCTGCTGGGATCGTAAGCTCTGCCGCTGGGATCGAAAGATTTGCTGCTAGGATCGTAAGCTCTGCTACTTAGATCATTAGATCTGGCACTGGAATCATATGATCTACTATTGAGATCATGAGATCTGTTATTGGGATCGTAAGATTTGCTATTTGGATCATAAGATCTGTTCTTGGTGTCGTATGATCTGGTGATGGGATCATAAGATCTGGTGACTGGATCGTAAGACTTGCCGCCATGATCATGGGAGCTTGTGAAGGACGGGGACCTGTTGGGCGCAGCAACGTCATTGACGGAGGATGGGGTGGTTGAGGGGCCCCAGCAGGAGGAAGTGGGTGTGCTACGCAAGTGCGATGTCACCAAGGGCGAGTGAGACGCGGATGAACGGGGAGGTGGAAGAGGGGAAGAGGTACTAGTGATGGAAGATCTGGGTGGTGGAAGTGGGGTACCCCCAGGCAATGTGGATGAAACGTGCAATGTTGCCCGTAGAGGAGGTTGTGGTGAAGAAGAATGAGAAGAAGTCGGTGCAGAAGAGCGAGGAGGCGGCAGTGGTGAGAGGGAGGAGGCCGGGGTGGAGCGTGGTGGAGGCAGTGGTGGTCCGTGGGGCGAGGAGCTCACGCCAGGAGCCCCTCCCGTCATGACCGTCTGGCCGAGAGTCGCCTGATGACGCTGAGGGTATGAGTTCTGGCTCCCTCTTTGAGTACCGTATGTGGGTGATGATAAAGAGTGCTGGTGATGGAGGTGGGTGTGATGGTGTGGGTATGAGGGTGAGGAAGGAGAGTGCACAGGAGATGTTCCTGCAGAGCAGCCGACTACCTTGCGCGTCACCGGCTCAGCTTTGGGCTGATGAGAGAAGCTACTGCCGCTACTGCTGGACAGCAGCGGCAGGAACAGGCCGCCGCCGCCGCCGCTGCTGCTGCTGCTGCTCTCACTTGTCTGAATAACGTAACGACAAAACCTCAACACCAGGCACACGTGCACGGAAAACACTCCAGACAAAAATCACTTTTGTAAAAAACAATCACAGTTCAATAAGTAAGCAGAAGATAATTGCACATCAGATTGAGAAGTAACTGAAGCTTGACAAGATAAACTTTCTTCTAGGAGTCTCTTTTTTATGACCCTGCAGGCGGAAACTAAGCACTCAAGAGAGAGGTTCAGAACCCCGAAACGAAAATCCCAGATTCTCAAGTTCTTAATTTAGAACTACATCTCCCAGTCGAGTTCCTGACAACCATTAAGAAAAATTAGAAAATTCAGTGCCATCCACTAGAATTTTTAAAATCATGTCGCGTTTATTACGAGTCAGTTAGCCGCTGCACTGAGATTGTCTCAAGTAAGCTTATTTCTCGGCAGTAAGAAATTGTTGCTTTGCAATCTTTCACGGTGTTTAAAAATTAGGAGCAATTTACGAAAGGGAATACAGGCTATATAGAGAACTTATTAAGATATATTTCTCACCGTGGTAGGCGGGGCACCGTTTGCGGGACTGGCGTGATGGACAGGTATTCTGATGGTGTGGTTATCTGGTGTTGCACTTCGGCGAGGCAAAGCAGGCCGAGTGGTGACTGTGACTGTGGTGGTGGTTGTTGTGGGTGAGCTTGATTTGGTGGCGTCAGTTTGGCTCTGAGGAGAAGGGGACTGGCTGCAGAGCTGGTAGCGAGGAGAGACGCGGCAGCTGCGGATGGGAGAGCCACGTACTCGGCTGCTGCCACAGCTGCTGCCGCCGCTGTTGGGCGTCTCGCTCGGTGCTGACGCCGCCCACACCTCTGAAGGATTTTAATCATTAGTTTATGCAATAAGTAGTAATAGAATACGCTCTAAAGACAAGGTCAGCTGGTTCGCCCATCAGTAATACATGATATTTGATTTTAAATACATTTTAAAAAGCAATCACCCTCATTTGTTCACTACATCTACTTAAAAGTTAAAACAGCGTGAGACCAATGGATAGCTCCCAAAATGGGAGCAATCATCCATATTGATTCGCTCCGCCCTCACTTAGAAACCTGGCAATACTTTATCTCTTGCTTCTATTCCTGATCAAACCGACCCTCGTTGCTCTCGGCAGGCAATAATTCAATCAAATAAAAACGAGAGTTCCGCTACCAATCGTAGCAACAGTTTACTCTCGACATTGAGATGCAAACAACGCATGACTGAAACTAACATACCGGCAAACCAAGAGGCGACGTCGACGTCTTCCTTCTCGTACTTCTTGATGAAGGGATATTCCAGCAACTTCTTGTACTTGGGACGCTGCCGGTAGTCTTTTACCAAACTGCCCGCCAAATTACGTAGTTACACCAACACATCATTTCAAATATGCAATATGCCTGGGCAACCTAACGTATCCTGTGCAGTTCAGCGAGAGAAAGAAAGCTCGAAAGAGAGAGATAGAACCATCAACAATTCCATCACACGCAATCAAATACAAATAAAATCCAGATAGAAACAAAGAAATTTCAAGCATGAATTTTTTCTCACGATCAAAAATTTTTCACAAAATTAAGTCACCAAACTTTGAAATCATTAGCTTGCTTCATATAAATCATTAGCTTTCGTCCCTCTCCAGATTAATTGATACAGTAACTATGACTAAATAAACAAATAATTGGTAAATAATCTCACCAGTCCTTGACAAACGTCCTAAACTCGTCTGAGAAGTTCATTTCGGGTGGTAGCGTCGGAGGGTCGTTGTCGAGCACTTTAGTGAGCACCTCGAAGTCTGTCCGGCAGTCCTGGTACGGGAACTTGCCGGTCGCCAGCTCCACCAGCGTGATGCCCAGACTCCACACGTCCGCCCTGATGTCGTAGTCCGGGTTGCGCGGGTCAGGCGGATCTATTCGCTCAGGCTGAACACCGACGCAAAATACACACTAAAGTGATTCAGGATAATAAATCCCAGGATAATTCGGAATTCTTGCAATGAAAAAATTTATATTTTGAAACGAATCCCGACTGTACGGTAATTTAGGCATCAAATTGTGAAAGGAAATACCACGTAGGTAATATAATACCTTTATATGACTACTTCAAGAATGACTAAAAAGAAATTAATGACAATCGTCAATTGATAGAGCACATCAATCAAACGTCAACCAGTCAACCAGCGCGAATAATGAAGCAATTTTGAACAACTAAAACAGAATTAAAGGAATGAAGCCATCAGCATTACGAGTGCAAAATAAAAAAATGGTAATAGTCGTAATTTTTAGACAGCTTACCTTCAGGTAACAATCATTATAGAATTTTTAATAAGCAAATTGGATAGTGTCATTAATGTGCTTATAAAATACTTATTTACCTTGGGCACAGAAACTTATAAATAGGACCTCATAAATCAAAGCTAACATAATTCAATTTAAATTAACCCAGCTTGTCAAGATGACAAATTTAAGAAAAAATACATAACTGCCAAGTAACCTAAACAACTGCCAAGTAGACTCAAAATAACACGTAGCATCACAGTTCAAAGAGGATAAAAATAAGCAGGAATAAGAAGAGTTTTTCAGCGGGACTGACCGCCATGTAGGCAGCACATCCAGCACTGCGGGTGTTGGCTTTAGAGTCAACCAGGCGTCCTGAGATGCCAAAGTCACAGAGCTTGATGTTGCCGCGCTCGTCTAGGAGGATATTGCTTGGTTTCACATCTCTATGAATAACGCCGTGACTCTCTTTCAAGTAGTGAAGTGCTTTAACAGTCTGCACAAATATAGAAAATAATAACAAAATAATAATGTTCAAGCAAAACAGTGACATAGGAACACGATGCTTCTCAAATTAGCGAATCTGATGTCAATTAGCATTCAAGGAGCCGGCGGGCTCTCCAGTAATAGCACAAATACTTGGCTGGCCTTCTTAGCCCGCAAACTTTAATAATGAAATGCTAACACTAGACAAAACTTGCCGGAAAATGTTTCATGAGATTGATAGCTACATAAGGGTGCCAATGAAATTAATGGTAAAAATTAGAATACAAGTTTTCCATGCTCTCACCCTCTAAAAGTTTTTTTTATCACCTTCCTATAAAGCCAAAAAAAAAAAAAACTTGAATTAGATATCTTCAATATTTACTGGTACATCATTATTTTGTTAATAATGCCCGTTGGAATTATTTAACAAATGTAGATCATTTTATGACATGAGCCGCTTTACTCATGTCAAATGATGCCATATCTTCACTAATTCACTTAAAATTAGCTTTTGTATTCCACATTCATCGTTGGTAATGTGTTTTTGAAGTTTATTTTCTTCTAGATTATTTTTCAACAAGATTACAAATGGGACCGGTAATTAAGCAACTTTGTTTGCAGTTAATTGATTCCTGGCAATTCGAAGACAGAATCCAGCTGCTGTATTCTGATGCCATCAACACTGGTTTATATGCTGCAGCTCCTTAATGCAAAAGATGCTGCAGAAGCTGCCTTTAATTTAGCATGCAGGCTTCATGTTCACGAACTAATTATAGATACAACCGTTTTCAATTTGTTAATGGGATGTTCCAGTGGTGCATGGCTCAAGCTGTTTGATCACACGTGTGGAGTCAGATAGACAAATCAAACCGGAAAAAGTCTAAATGATGTAACATTTTCAGCCAACGTGAAATCAGAAACTGAATTCATTACCAAATTCTCTCAAAACCAGCTTCAGATATTCCAGCCCAGAGATGACTAAAGAAAATTAATGCAGTTGGCTCTGATATTTATTGGTGATGAGTCAACTGATGTTGATATTGATGCTTCAGGCCCTAATCAGAGCCCACTAACCCACTGGACGGGAAAATTGATTTACAGTTTGAAAATTTACCTTTATTGGTCCCAGTTTCATCCTACACAGTCTAAATTCAGAGGCTCCAACAGTTCAATGCGTTTATAGTGAAGCTGAATCTCAATGCATGGTACACCAACTTGGATGCTGCAATTGCTCCACTAAATCCTTTGCGGTTGCTGAAAGATCTTGCTGCCTATAAACAAATAAGACGATTTCCTGTGCAGCCACGAAGTTGTTTATATGTACGTGCCATTTAAGGTACCTACGTACTTCCTTGAAATTCTTGTGAGATTTTCTTTCTTTAATTTAGAAGCTACTGATGCAGAAAAGTGCTAAAAGGTAAATAACGCCTCAAAATTTGGTGAAAACTATCCAGCATCTTGAGTTGAAAACTTCACCTGTTCGGCGTTTTGCAGAAGCTGTTAATGTAATTGGTGTTATATATGCAACCAGTATCACCAGTATTGCAACCAATCATTGTGCAACCAGTAAACGGTGCTCGATATTAAATAATTTTGGTATAAGCACCCAGCTTAAGTAGTGAAATACCCAACTCTGGACCATGAAACTTAAACAAATACAAAATTTTTTTGGTTGGCACCCTAAGCTACGTAAATAGTACAAAAAAAGCAGTAATTTAGTCATTGGTAACTCTGTAACTACGTACTGCTCATTTATTCAATAATGCGGTAAAGGGTGATTAATGACGATTGCTAGGGTTGCCTTAAAAACAAAATATTAGAAGAGAGCCCATTTAAGGCAACAATCCAATAACCATTTCCATGTATAAAAAACTAAGAGTGAATAGAATTATTTATTAATGTTCGATGTCTCATTCGGAAGGCTGATCAAAACAAAAAGTCCCTTGATCTATGAAGCAATACGGTTGAGCCCATGCATGGCGTATAGCAGAATGATTTGGAACAAAAAAGCCTACACAAAAAGAAACTCACCGCAACACTAATTTTGCCAAGAATGCACTCAGGGATGGGCTTGCTGCACCTCTTGAGGAGCTTGTCCAGACAGGTGGCCATGAGTTCCATGCAGATCCACACGTGATTGTCTGAGACAAAGCACCCCAGACAGCACACAATGTAGGGGCAGTCATGGCTTTTCAGGACAACTTCTAGGTCAAAAAATACTCTCTTGGTTTCTTCTATGTTGCCTGAGCGATTCATTTGCTGAAAATAGTCAGGAGATCAACTATGGCAGGAAAGTGTCTTCAATAATAATAATTCCAGTAGAGATCTTTAAACAGTCGTCAGCTATTTGATTCATGAAAAAAAATGTTCTAGTTAATTCACTCAGATATTGGTAATAAGCAAATTTATGCAAAAAATGGAAATTCATGCACCACACTCACCTTGACAGCCACAAATTTGCCTGAGGGTTCATGTAACATCTTGACAACATTACCAGAAGTGCCACTGCCAAGCTCAGCAATGTATTTGAGGTCTTCATTGCTGCTGTTGTAATTCTAAAACACAAAAATCACAATCCATTAATAAAGTCATTTTAATCAATTCGATTCTGAACAGAAAATTGTTACATCAATAAAAATTTCTTTGTATAAAACTCAATCCTTTGATGCTGAAAATATTTTCTAGTTTGTTATATCAAGTTAAGCACAAGAAAGCTTTTATAACTTTTACATACGGTACAATTTGGGAACGACAACAAACATAAGATATCTAATTAATCACTTAATAATCCACAATTCTTTCTCTGAACCTTTCTTATTATTATATGTACATACAAAGGAATTTAAAGAAATATCAGGCAGCTATGAATCTCAACTATGTCAACCAGCCTCCATTCAATGAGATGGCTGCTTTAGGTCAGGTAACAGTAGCCATCGCCCATCAGGCATTAAGCCTGTCATGTCCAGCCAGCCATACTGCTTCCTTCCTACCTGACCTTTAAGAACTTCTTCAATTTTAAAATGATTTGTATCTACAAATTTATCTGATGTTGTTTGTTAGTATCACTTACTTTCCCAAATATCTTTTTTATTTATTAAAATGGGCGAGTAAGCAATTTTTTACAATTGCAATACAACATAAAGGTAGTCAATGGAATTCTGTTGTGGGAGCTTAAAATCCATGTAACTTAACAAATTTTTTTCCCGCAAATGTCTGGAGAAATGGGGAATGTACCCAGGTGTGCCTTTATACATAGCAAAACATGACAGCATTGGTGCTGCTGAGCATTGCATTATTTTATTGGCATTATTGCCTGTGACATGGCGCCCTTACCTTTCCATCAATTGAAAGTATTCCATTTTTTAGAAGGATTTGTTTCATATGAGCCTTAAGTTCAGGAGAATCTTGAGGCTTTGGTTGAGGTAGGAACAATAGAGGCTGGATTGGGGGTCGGGGCTTGGGTCGGGCACTGATGGTATTGGGGCGGTTGGTGCTAACTGCCTCTGCCAGTGATACTGCAAAATAAAAATATTTTAGACGTGCCAGCAATTGACCATTAATATTTTAGAATGAACAATGTTATTCAATTTGTGCCAACAATAGACTATTAACATTTTAGAATCAACTATATTAGGTATTCAACTTAGATGAGGGTTAGCATTAAAAAGTTTACAAAGATTTGGGTAAACAATTGATAAAATGTGTAACATACACCTTAACATAATTGTTTGAATAAAATGTTGAGTTTTTAACCAACTGCAGAAGGTGGAAATGTATATCAATATGTTATTTAGAGAATTTCTAACAAAAAACCTTCTCCTTGTACAAGCATACTGGTACTATTCCTTGTAACTATGGATGACTCAGTTACTCTTGAACTTGGGGAAACTAGGATAACTACTGGTACCAGCTCTTGTCACAGACAACCATGAATGTTTAATCAAGTGTAAAAAATTGATTGAAATTCTTTTTCTCATTGAAAATCCCTTACAAAAATAAGCCAATTGGCATACAGGACAATATGCCTATGGCAATAAACACCTAACGTATTAACATCTAATGTCCCATCAAACGGAGTAATAAGGGACAAGCGGAGTAAATTGGGAAGCGCGTCCCAAATTTTGTAGAAATGTTGTAGCAGCTAAATTAATCAAAATATTGCAAAACTAAAAATGGTGTCGTAAACTTCAACATTTTTACTATCTATTATGTACGTACCCTATAAAGCTAGTTAAGAAATCATACATTTACTATCTCTAAAAAGTCGCTGAAAAAGTGTGTGAAAAGTGCAATTTAGGAAAAGTACCGTCAAACGGGGTAAAAAGGGACGGTTTTGAGCATTTTTTGTCAATAACTTCTTACCATGAAACATTTCATAAACAAGTTTGGGCTCATTTTAAAGGTCTTTGCAAGGGTTATCATACGGCATCTCCAAAAAAATTCCATATGCTATTTGTAAGGTGCTAGATGCAATATAAAAGGCTCCTGATTAGCGTCTTTAGGGCTCCAGTTAAGAAAAATATCTATTAACAACAAAGAATTTTGATTACATTTACTTCACTCAGTGGAAAAAAATTTCACATATCAAAAAATTAATGCATCATTGGTCATCACAAAATTGTGCACAGAATGTCATATACAGGGCCTCCCAAAAAAAAAAAGGATATTCAACTTTGAATGGCTGTAACTCAAAAAGTAATGGTGTTAAAAAATTTTGGAAGGTCAGGATTTATTTCCTATGTTTTTCTCCATCTCTCCACGAAAAATCAGACAGATCGATGTAGCCATAAACGTTTGATAGAACTTTCAGAGACATGTGCTAAAATCGTGCTAGCGCAAAGTTTTAGTAAGATCATTTTGCATAATCACTACGTTGTCTTGACATGTTTTCTTTTTGCTGTTTTATTTTTTTGTATCTTTGGCAAGACAAAAACATGGCAATCTTTGGTGAGAGGCAATCATGACAATCTTTTGTGAGACACAATCATGGCAATCTTTGGTGAGTGACAATCATGGCAATCTTTGGTGAGACACAATCATGGCAATCTTTGTTGGGAGACAAGCATGGCAATCTTTGGCAAGACAAAAACATGGCAATCTTTGGTGAGAGGCAATCATGGCAATCTTTGGTGAGACATAAATTACACAATCATGACAATCTTTGGTGAGGACAATCATGACAATCTTTGGTGAGACAAAAACATGGCAATCTTTGGTAAGAGGCAATCTTTGGTGAGATACATCATGGCAATCTTTGCTATTCTTTGGTGAGACACAATCATGTCAATCTTTGGTGAGAGACAATCATGGCAATCTTTTGAGAGACAACCATGTCAATCTTTGGTGAGAAGCAATCATGACAATCTTTGGTGAGAGACAATCATGGCAATCTTTGATGAAACAAAAACATGGCAATCTTTGGTGAGAAACAATCATGACAATCTTTGGAGACGACTGACGACATTCATGCCAATCTTTGGTGAGACAAAAATATGGCTATCTTTGGTGAGACAAAAATATGGCAATCTTTGGTGAGACACAATCATGGCAATCTTTGGTGAATCTTTGGTGAGACAAAAATATGGCTATCTTTGGTGAGACAAAAATATGGCAATCTTTGGTGAGACACAATCATGGCAATCTTTGGTGAGACACAATCATGGGCTCATGGCAATCTTTGGTGAGAGACAATCATGGCAATCTTTGGTGAGACACAATCATCCCAGTGAAAATTTACAAATGTGGCAGCTTCTGATTTGGATTACCAGAATCTGGGGCGACTCTAAATTTTGTTACGGATGGCAATCTTTGGTGAGCAGCAATCATGGCAATCTTTGGCGAGAGACAATCATGTCAATCTTTGGTGAGAAGCAATCATTATCATGATAATCTTTGGTGAGAGTCTGAGAGACAATCATGGCAATCTTATATAAGAGATAATTCATCTGGCACTGCTGGCAGAAATGAGAAATCTTGCAATTCCTGAAATGGTTGGAAAGCTCTAGTCGTGGCCCTAAAGTTAGAAGTTTTCCCATAGTGTGCACATCATTATGAACCAAAATACATGCTTCAGCTTCACTTTTGGTGATCAAATCGGTTACCAAAATAAATCATTTTGATTCCACAAAAATTTAGAGAAAAACATGTGTTCAAATCTGCCTAACAGAAATAATCTGCCAACTTTCTTGCTGTGGTCATAGTGTGGTTTCCTAAATACCTAAATTAGGCTATGTGTATTGTGTAACTAAAAACCCTCAAATTAGTTACAAAAATATAAAAAGTTGATCAGACATGACTTTGAATGAAAAATAATGCACTGAAGAGAAAACAAACAAAATGAATAAATAATTGTCCTTCATCTTGGTTTTCTAATGTTAATTTCAATCAATTATTAGTATAACCGTTCAAGTTGGTTTACGATGAATGAAGTTCGTGTACTTACAATTCTTGGGTCTTCTCTCTGACCCTGGCCTCTCACGAGAAAAATCAAGGTTCAACGAATTAGTCATAATATCTCTATTCATAGAATCATTTTCAGCCTGAAGTCTTGACCCTAAACCCTGTACAGTATCGTGCAACGAGCTCAGAGTCGCCATTTTCAATGTTTTGGTTGCATGATATGAGGAGCGCCATCTATTGGAAAAGATAAGAGCAACAACAAATTATTTTATTCCATTCGAAATAGATAACTCGATTTGAGAAAATGATTCTTAAAAATTTAAATATAAATTCAAGAATCGTATAACACTCCAGTGTTGGAATGTTTTAACAGTATCTAAAAATGTTTTGATGATTATGAATTTAGGTAACGTTCTATACTGCAAACAATTTCTTCTACATTACTATTCAAATCAAACGAAACAATTCGAATACAGTAACTGAGTAAGTGCGATAAACGAAACAGCTGCACCGGATGGTTGGTTTCAATGTGTGAGTGTATCTAGGATAGCTCAAATGACACAACTTTGTTGCTGTACCTTTATGTTTAGTACAAAATTTACCGTTCAATCGTGTCTATGATACAAGCGCATTGCTTATTCAGCCAAATAAAGGAGACATAAATGCGATGACCGAAAAGCGTACAGAAGTGAAAAACGCAATTATGTGTCACAAGTACCACCTTAGGTCGGTATTTACTAACGTCGTAATAGTGTTAAGTATGTTGCCGGAGATTTAGTCACAGTGTCTTACAGGGATAGAAGATGACTGCCTAAGTTTGATAAGGTGCTCGGAAAAAATTACGCAGTAATGTGACGACTGCCCTAACAATTTTTGTTTTTCATGGTGTCACTACCGCGACGCATCTTCGACGTGCGTGGCTACACCTGACGATAGTCGAGCACCAACAGGATAATCAAAACTTTGGGGAGGCACGCACTCCGACCTACAGTTGAGGGTCTGCACATCTTGCTCCAAGGACAACTGCATGTCTTAGCCAATTTTCTGTGCTATTTGTTAAGATGATCAAAGTTGTAGCAAGCATGAAGAAACTTGTCCTCCTCATCGTAAAGGAAAGCTGTGTGCTTAGGACCGTATAACTTCCGACATGTTTGAGTTTTACACTGAAAATGAAGGTTTAATAGATACTATGCCAACCATGTATCTGGGAAAAGATTCGTTTGTGTTTCTACAGTTAAATTTGTCTAAATATCCTATGGACGAAGAGTAGACTTCCTCGTTTATAATCGCTGGAACGTTTCCAGGTAAAGATACAGAATTCGCTGAAAAATAAATCACCGATGCACGTTCGATGACATTTCGATGGATAGTCAACCCAATAGAAAGTAATGATCCGAACGTCGCTGTATTTGAAGTGGTGAGCGACAGCGGATACTTCAATTTTTCAAAAGAACTCTCATTAAACTACAGTTATGTGCAACTCTACGTTTAATTTAAGCCATAAACTTAAACGATCATGCGAGAAGACCCACTGATTCTGACAGTTGACTATAGACAAGGCAAAAGTGCGACGTCACCCATACCTACATACCTCGAGTTTTCATGGTCGTGCGTAGCTCTCAAAGAGTCTTAGGAATCCTCAGAATTTTGTGCACGTGTTGCCAACGGATCGGTGGGTTTGTCGACACTAGATCCCAAAGTAGGCATCAAGTTCGAACCAGGGGAAGTTCCAGTTAATTAATATGATTTTGAAGTAGTTCTCAAGGACATAAGACAGAACTTGAACAGGAAGGAAGCTCGCGCAAAATCATCTGTTTCAGTTGAAATAAAAATTCTGTCGTTCGTCGCGGAATTGACTGTAGCGGGCCGGACATACACCGGAGGATTGCCAAGCCACCAGAAAATAATCATTGACTCAGTTTGCAAAAATTGCGAAGACTAAACTGATTACATGTACACTTGGTCTTTCTTGAATGCAGAGACTCGAGCTCCAGAAGTGACGGATTTAGAGGTCGAGCAAGGAAAGCTGAATGGGATTAACATGCGAAGAATTGTGTTGAATCCTAACGCTCTTGGAGCAAATAGAACAATAGACGTTGAACTCATAATTTCACCGATTAATGGTAACTGAAAATAAAATATGATCAACTTTCTTAAAAATTTTATTTAAATCCTTTATCAATAAAAAACATTTAATAACCTTTGCTAGGCATCCAAGTATAAAATTCTAGAAGGTAGTCATACGAAAGAGCGTAATTCTAAGGACATACATTAGAACTTTGGTCCGAGAAATGTAGGAAACATGACCATGGCCAAGCAGCTGTTGGGTGATGGGGCAAGTGCATGCCGGGAGGAAGAAGCTAGGTTGAATATGACACAAGGTATTGGCGGGGGACGTTTAAAGGAGGGACAAGAATTCAGGTGGCGGGAAGTGTGCAGGATCAGGAGGAGTTACGTAGCAGGGGTAGGAGTCGGATAGTTGCCAATGTGACCAATGTAAAAAATTCATTGAAATAATCATTGGCCATGGATCTCACCTAATTCCCATTCAAGAATCTTAGTCCTTTACAGGAGATTTGAGAGAGCGGAAGGCGATCGTGGAAGTGAAAAACGCGATTGGCCGCCTCGCCCGAAAATTTCCCGGTTTATACTCATACGGTTCTCGTACGGCCGTCAAGTTATACACCTGCAACTGTCGGCCTACAATTGCAGGACATTTGTCGTGATTACGCCGATAATGCGTCCGTAGCGGCGTATAGGAGCTAACCAACCCTAACAACAACAAAACCCGGTCAAGCGGTCTTGCAGCTGAACACGCTTGCTGTCTAAGCTTAACTTAACTACTACCAGAGCACTAAAACGCAGCGTTTCATTGTGCTGTGCAGCACTGTACACCGCTTCTTTCGACTGTACCGCACAGTGCTGCACATCTCACTACCGATCGCGCCGCTACAGCACAGTACAGCGCTACGAAATTGTACAGTTTCGAACATACTCCATGGATTTTGCGTCACTTCAAAGTAATGTAAACAGCATTTCTTCATCAATTAATAACAGAGTGAATATTGAATCGCCACTTTCATACGGATAACACCACATATAACAACAGCAGCAACAATAATTGCAATAACGATAACGGAAGTATTGATTCATTTGATTGGAACTAAAGTTACAGCACCAGAAAACAGCACCGCCGATGATGCCAATAATTTGTTCCATTTATGAATAAAATGTGCAGAATACTGAACTAAAATGGTGCAGGATGATGGCATACAAGGATAAGTGAACAGATGCCCATGATACACCTTTTTAGGCGTTTCAACCGACAACAAAGTAATCGATTCAATAATAATGATCACGAGCAATTTGACGCATTAGAATATTTACCTTATTAAGGCACAAATGTATCTACAATGTGAATTATTGATTATAAAAATATAGCTGCATTTTAACGATGCTTACTGATTGTGATCAGTCTACCAGAGGGCAGCACAGTCAAGAGGCTCAAGGAATAGAATTTGAAGTGAGAGGTGAGCGTCCAAATCGAGCAGATAGAGATAAACGATATAAACAAATCCTCGATACTTTGGGCAGTTTTGTGCCTTAGTATTTTCGGATTAAATATTTATTATCTTGAAGAATATGAAAGTTTATGTACTCCGTTAAAACAAGACGACGATCTTCAATAAATATAGTCAATTTTCTTACAATCAACGTCGACAGGCGGTCATAATACATTATTTAGAACGTCATGACAGGAACACTCCGAATACGGGGAACAGGGACGAGTGGCTGAACGCATCAAATGTGGACACTTCACCAGCGTCGCGGCGAAGATACAACGACGTCGCGCTGGACACCGAACGAACCACACTCTAAGCTGTTTGGGATGATATACTATCCTGATTTGTATTCCTTATGCTACAAATTTGATTAGTTAGTTAGTTAGTTTAGCGGCCAAATGTTTACTAGCGCTTCAGCTATTTGGCTATCTCGCACCGAAAGTCAAGATGAACATCACCATAGAGGTGGAAGGTCTCGATTATTCATCACCCACAAGAATGTAAGGAATCCTACCTACATAATAACTTAACCCCAGAACTGAGACCAACGGTCAGACACCGCGAGCTCAGCGGTGGGGCGCTCAGGAACAATCCCCCTAGGAGCGCGAAATCCCATAGGACTTCTGACGCGCACAGACACGCGTCAGAAGTCCCCCCTGAGGGGTAAAAATTTGATTAGTACTTTAATGCATAGACAATAGGGAGAAATTCGGAGAGATTGTGATTGCGGATGTGAACAATTATGACAACAACATACGTAGTTCCGGGGTCTGAGATTGCGTCAGATAACGGTTGCGACAGCCAGCAACGGTAGGGGACCTTATCATGGTGCCCAAAATTAACAATACATTCCCTTCATCTATGACTTTCGATCCACAACAATTGACCAAGATTATCTCTCAACATATTCGAATTCGAAAGAATACATATTGCGGTGACAGTAATACAATTTAAATTAGTTATACTACAAAGAATTTCTAGTACGCAAGTACAGTAAAAAATTACTCATAATATCTCGTAAAACATCGTTTAATACGTGAAAAGGTGCCATGCAATACAAAGACTAGTGAAACGTCACCTTCACTCGTCGATATGTATGAAAGGTGCATCGGAGCGAGCGAGCGTTCAGAGCCTCCACGGCTCTGATCGGCAATTTTGCCTTCAATTTCAGCACCTAAATAACAGGCATGAATACAAGCAATAGCTGCTCCCCATCATGGTGAGTGAAGTGAGGTAGAGTGCAGCGTGGTGAAGTAATGTGAAGTGAAGGGGCTTCTACAACCACTATAGAGCCCGGAGGTATGGAGACAAAGTGATGTATTACGCACAACTCTGTGCAGCTACCACATCTGTCCACTGGATGCTCTACTTTTCCATTACTTCTGGTACCTTTCTGCCGGCTGCGGGACACGAATTTCAGTTTGCAGTTCAACTTTCGAACACTCAGTTTCAATTTAGTGCAATTTTGATGAAGGGCGAACGTGTTTGGTCGTCGCGCTTGGATCGTCGTAAAAGGATATTACATTCACATGTCTACACATGTAAAATTTTCCTACTTTAAAATAACTTACGGCATATCGGCCACGCCTGAAATGACTGTAATTTGGTAGTGCCATTGACGGACGAAGGCACGAGGAAGGCACCCGAAGATCAGCAATAATAAACCTACACTCAGAAGAATAAGTGAGAGCGTCCAAATAACGATGTAGTTTTTGCACTCTTGTTAGGGTCATCCGGACCAAGTTTGGCCAGGCAAAAGGGCGTATCAGCGCAGCACGCAGAAAGTGCGTCACTATTAGCATTATATAACCCTATAATTTTTCTGAAGATAGCACAATCGACGTCGTGGAGAAGCAGCCGTTCACATAAGAAATTTAATCGCGACTTTCTTCAGCACGTGCGGAGGAAATTGAATTTCTTGTGTTTATGAATTTTCACGTCCTCGACCACCTGAAAATGAAGGAAGCATTAATTTATAAGTAATTGGGAGCGAAAATTGGAGAATTGAGTGCACACGAAATGAGACGAAGAAAAGGGCACAAGAGATAAAACATAAGAAAGCAAACGCAATAAAACGAAATGAGTAAGTAAACTTTCTATTCCAGGTCATCTACACACTATATATCGCATAACTGCAATCCACCCATTAGGAACATATTTCTTCTTGCATCCTTCCATAGAAAGGCTACCGGTAACTCAAGTGTAGCGCTCACCGTACTTGCCTACTTAGCCTACTCACTTAGCCTGTCATATTAGCCTACCAACCTAGTACACTTAGTCTACTAGCCTGTCGACTTAGCCTACCAACCTAGTCTGTCCACTTAGTCTACTAGCCTGTCCACTAGCCTACCAACCTAGACTGTTCACTTAATCTAGCCACTTAGCCTGTCCACTAGGCCTGCCAACCAAGACTGCCTACGTACCCAGCACACCTAGATTGTCGACTAGGCCTACCAGGCTACCAACCAAGCCTACCTCCGTACCCTGCACACTTAGATTGCCCACGTATTGTGCCCACTGCCAGCTCGGCCCACCTTGATGAGGCAGTCGAGACCGAAGAGGAAGCCCTCTTCGTGGTTGCCGAGGCACCAGGGCGCGCGGTGGGTGACGCTGATGCCGTCGGGCAGCGGCCGCGTCTTGGCAAAGTCGATGACCCAAGCGCCTGCCTTAACTTCGTCGTATACGATCAAGATGCTGCTTCCTACGACCTGAGTGTATTACGACAACGTGAGACTCTGCAGCCCTGCAGACAAGTTGCTTCCTACGACCTGAGTGCATTACGACATCGTGAGACTCTGCAGCCCTGCAGACAAATTGCTTCCTACGACCTGAGTGTATTACGACAACGTGAGACTCTGCAGCCCTGCAGACAAATTGCTTCCTACGACCTGAGTGTATTACGACAGAAAATTACAGAAAATTTTCATAACAAAAATGATGACGATCCCGTACAAATTTATCAATTTAAATTTCTTATGTATAATTTTATTTCAACTCTAATCTGTAAAAAATAAACAGATCAAGCTTTCAACTTTACAATCAAACATCCGTTGTGCGATGCTTCATAATTTCGCCACTAAAAATAAATTGCAAGTTGGGATAATATCCCGAAACGATATTTACTATGAATGTGCGCGAATAGCTCATAAATATTTCTAGTATTAAGCCAGTGTTTAAACACACATACATAAACAAACACACACACACACGCATACACACACACAGACATTGTTAATCATGTGATATATTCAGATCACAGACTGGACCCTAAACACAGCGCATGTGCTTCGGCGCATCAAAAAGCGGTTCGGCTCTTGACTGGTAACGGGCAAACGAAATGCCACTAAAATGCCACTGAGGATGGCACTTCATTCTCGCATTTGCCAACCCAACGCCTAGCGGTTGCCAACCCCAACCCCAAGTCCCAAAGGTAGCACTCAAGATTAAACTAATACAAACGTAATCAAAAGCTACGAAAAACCCGTACCTCATGTCGTCTGAAGAATTCCGAAAGTTCGAAGACTTTCCTGAGCTCCTTGAGCTTCGCAAGAACGTTCTTCCGGATGGAGTCGCGACCGCAGAGGAAGATCGCCATCGTCTCCAACACCTCCTTGCGCGAACGGACGGTTTTGAACTCAGCCAGGGCGTCGCTGTCGGACATCTGAGCAAAAAGGTGTTGAGAGTTGACGCAATGTCGTCTTCAACAACCACATACATAATCTAGATTACTAATATAAATCATAAACTGAAATAAAAACGTAATTATTCAAAAATACCATAAAGGCAGTAAAAATTTTCACCTCGGACTTCCGTGACTGCAGAGAAACTTAATTTTGAAGTAAAAATTCGGCAGTTGTAACGACTCACCAAAATTTCATATACTACGTAATAACTCACCACAAGCTTCCACCCACGCCCTCATCCACCACCCTCAACCACACATACCCATGATGATGAAATTCCGAGTTAGTGTTTCCATGAATGGACGAAGCGAGGCTGATAGCAGCGACGCCGATAGCTCGCCTATCAGTGATAAGCGCTTTACGGTACAGGCCTCAGCCAGCGTTACAACTGCCAGTAAACCTTCACATCTTTACAACAGAATCTCTAACATTTTACTTTGAGTTTCTCGTCGATAAAATAATGTGTGAACTGCGCGTCGTAAGTATTTCTAACACCTAAACCTTTCGATTGTTGTCATTGTAATAAATACACAACAGAACCGCTGTTATATCAACGCATCTCTCATGCCAATGAGAGATGCTGAATGAACCAATGCTGAATATCAAAAATATTCAGCATTGTATCAATTTATTTTTATGAATAATCACCAAAAACATTATTTCATCTCGGCATTTCTAAAGAAAACCCGGTATAACCAGAATCGCATTTTTCATCATACCCAAAAATGACAACTTAACATATCTGCATCTGAAACGGAACAAGCGTCGCATTTCCGATAAACTCATGACAATCTCCTAATAGTTAATGTTATCTATATCACCAGTTTATTTGTACCTCTAATTAAGCAAGAAAATACAAACACAGAACACACCACATGAATCAACCGTATTTTCAATGGAAACGCTTCGGAGACTAGCTCCATTATCAGTTCAGGCCTCAAAGGATCCAAATAGCCAAGAGATTTTTCTAATCAACACACGGCTGGACTCCAATAGTTTATTATTTCTAGGTTATTCTTGCGGATTATAAATTACATTAAATTATCTTTCGTAGGCAGACCTTCATAGCCTCTATCCTGAAGCCGAGCTCCCTGGAGGAGCTGAGGGTGTCCCTGAACTCCAGGTAGCGGCGCTTGGTGACCGCGCGCTGTGCGTGCTCCTCTACCGTCGGCTCCTGCGCTGACAACTGCACCATCTGCACACCATCATCTGTGTTAGACTGTCTCACCACCACCTGTGTTAGACTGTCTCACCACCAAGCTTCATTACAGCAGAGTTTCTCATTGTGCCTTTTCACTTGTTTCTAAAGGATCGCTCATCGCACTTCGAAACAGCTTCAAAAACAAATAAATTTCCTCAAGTCGGCAGTGTAAGCATTTGAGTCGGAGTGTCAGCCATCATGTACGGGAGCAGAGTATCAAAATTATCGTTTATTTGGTAATTTATTGGGGTAATTGATGGGCTTGGTGACGCTAAATGACGAAAGAAATGTAATTTATTGGGGCTCTTAATGGGCTTGGTGACTCCAAATGATGAAATAAATAATCATAAAATTGCATGAGTACGGCTAAGATCGTGACTTGATCATTAAGCACAAATAAAAATTCTTTAAGCGCGCGACGTGCTTTTTGAGGCGAACTTAAATAATATGTTTAGCGCAGCAGATGTTCAAGCATCTACGCACTAACGGAGGCTCGTGGTCATGACAAATTTGTGTTTTTTTGATTAATATTCGAGAAATTTCGGCGGAGGCAATATCATTTGAAGAAAAAAAATATAAAAATTAAAAATAATTTAATATAATTTCTTGATATATGACAAAGTTAATCTGTAAATGATTTGCCTGAAAATTTTTACCTACTATAATTTGGAATTAGTCGTCCTTGTCATCCTAAGATTGAGCGATATCGTCAAGGCTGGCAGCGCCTGCGTCATTAGATAGCCTGACGTGGGTGAGCCATCGGTGACGCAAAGTGGATGTCAACGTCATGCACAGTGCGGGCACTCCGTGAGACGCCCGTGGTTACGACAATGAACAAAACATGCGTTACAAGTCGCAAGTGTTTCAGCCTTTGCTACGAGACTGCTATCGCACCAAGTGTTTCAGCCTCTGCGACGAGACTGCTATCGTACCAAGTGTTTCAGCCTCTGGTACGAAACTGCTATCGTACCAAGTGTTTCAGCCTCTGCTACTAGACTGCTATCGTACCAAGTGTTTCAGCCTCTGCTACGAAACTGCTATCGTACCAAGCGTTTCAGCCTCTGCTACGAAACTGCTATCGTACCAAGTGTTTCAGCCTCTGCTACGAAACTGCTATCGTACCAAGTGTTTCAGCCTCGGCTTCACGACAACTATCGTACCAAGCATTTAAGTCTGTCTTATGCAGGTCTGCAGGTCAACGACTGGAGCGAAAGATTGTGGCAGGGAACAACCACTTTATTATACAATAATCAGACCTTCATTAATATTATCCTGTACCCGACCCGGCACTCAGTGTTGCTGCTAGCAGTACTGATACAAAGCCACGGAATGGTAATCACATGGAAACTTCCCGGCGCTCTGTGGTGACCCCAAATTAGGTAGAAAAACACATCGTGCCGAACAACGTTACAAGGAAAGCATCGACCTGGAACACCTCATTATTTAAATGAGGCGAATATTATCAGGATTCAATTCATGCAGCTTTCAACTCAAATAAAACGGATATAATGGTCATCAAATTGGCAAGTTGTTCATGGGATAAGCATTGCATATGAAATTTTTATATGCAACGTATAATTACATTACAACCCCGAATTCACATGTCTTCACTCAGTAGCATATGGATCGAGATTGACGAATAATTAGCAGGTAGATTACAAACTTTGTAATTATCACCGCGCATATTCATGAAAATCGGGATCTATGCCCATCGAATCTATAACCGAAAAGAAAACACATCAAAAATGCGATGTAAGCGAAGAGAAATAGAAAGAGAGAGAAAGAGAGCACTCATGTGTTAACAAGTGTGCTGGACACGCGCGGGTGCAGAACGCACCTGTATATACACACTATAGAGTTATGTGCGCGGTGTCTTACCTTATCATAGAGGTCCTGGCGAGGCTTGATGTTGGCAACCTCCCCCTCAAGGAAAGTTCGGGTGCCCATCTTCACGTCCATGATGGCTGGCCTCTCGAAAGAGAAGAGCAAATTCCGCATCTCTATAAAATCTGAAGCAGCGGTTAAGGAATTATGGCCAGCTTCAGAAGGAGGAAGCCAAACAAGAGACAGCGTGAAATACGCGGGAATCAACTCCCGCTTACTTAACACTTCGTAGATGGGCTAGTTAATATCACGTCCGAGGTCAATAAGTCAGCTGCAACGAAAACTGTTGCTATTAAAAGACATAGAGCTGAGAATTAGTCACAGCATGGGAAACAAATAATTATTAAAGTCTATGTTCAGAAGTCTAAAGTAATAAAAAAAAGTGTTTGGATATTATAACCAATGGGCCTGTAGCGTACATGTAATAAATAGAATTCAGAGGCATGACAGCTTCTGATTCTGGTAATCAGAACCTGAGGCGGCTCAAAATATTGATTTGCAAGCAGAAGCCAATTTGTTAGAAAGGATACACTCGTCGTTGTAGAAGGTGTCCCGGTAGAAGGTGGGTACGATGTTCCTGGCCGTGTCTTTCATAAGCTCGCGGTAAACGTCCGCCTCGACGCATTCGGGCGGACGTTTCTTCCAGACGGTGCAGGGGCCGGCGGGGGCCACCGACCCCATGTGGCCGCTGAGCTGCACCCAGCTGCACCGCTGCTCCCCCAACAGCTGCGGCGACGCTGGCACCGACAGGTGCAGCGACGACTATAGGGAGAATCGAAGGCAGATTCATCAGGTGAATTATGGAAGTAGGTCAAATGGAAGTAGGTGAATTAGGCAAGGCACCAAGGCTTTAATGAATAATAAATCAGGCGAGCTTGAAAGTTCTAGTATTTCATAAAAATATAAACTTGGCATAATTTCATAAACGCTCATGCCTCATGGTTTAAATGTAAAAATAGAATTATAGGCATTTGTTGAATTAACATATTGGTCAACCCGAAAAAGAGTCACTGTGCATGGGTAGGCCATAACTAAAAATATTTATGGTTATTGGATAGTTAAAAAATTAAAATCCAAACGGTGGAGCTCAAACCACTCTTTGCAGTGGCTGACTCACAAAAGCAAGCTTCTGTAGCATGGACATGTCGGCTTCACACTTGTCGCCAAAAGGATCGTCATCGTCTGCGGATGACCACGAGTTACTTCTGCTCGTCTTGGGGACCTCGAGGAGGTCGACCTGAGACGATCGCTTGCTCTCGTCAGGCTTCTTCTTCCTTATGAGCTCAGTAGAACGGCAAACTTTCGACACTGTCTCTGCGAAGCGAGCTGCTCGAGGGATGTTCTCCTCGGAGCGATTCGCCTTGAGTAAGACGGGCGACCGACGATCACTGGCGATATTTTCAACGGACGTACTGGATACTTCGCTGCTGCTTGGAGCATCGTCCGACGCTATAATATTGATGGCAGGGTATGACTCTGAGGTGTCTTGATCACCCTCTCCTATATGCTCGTCTTCAAGACCACCTTTCGACTTCTTCGATCTTTTCTTATGATGTTTTAGTAAGAAACTAGGAATAGAATTTCTTCTTTTCTCGTGTGTTGTAAAGTCGGAATGTGTTGTTTCGCAACTGACATCTTCACAGGAAGATTTGTGTTTGTGGGAGCGGTGGTCTTTGGAGCTTCTTCTGCCGTGGAATGTGAAAAACTCCTTCAAATCTCCTTCTTTCCTCTGAATATTCTGCAAGAAAAAATGTGAAGTTACAAATTATGTCAGCCTATCACTATTTTATGATTAAAGCTGGCCTCCAATTTAGGGTACAAAACCTTGCAGCACAGCAGAATTCTCTTGAACTTCTAACAGACTTCTATCGCATGGAATTTATTTTTTTAATTATCTCAAAAGCATACAGTGTCAAATAACATTGGAATGAAAATAACTATAACCTAAAGGGTTGCATCGATAGAAATGATGACTTATCGCACGTGGTCAGAGCGAGCACCTACGAACATGGCTCCTAAACGTCCAACTTCTTTCGTTCTTCTGTAAGTATCAACGCAAAAGAACGGTGCGATATAATTCAATACATAAAAGCTTCACTAACAAGTGAGCGCCACCGTGCACGCTGCGCTGCTGAAAGCCCAATGGATGCCATGGGTGGTCGCCTGACGCTAAGCAGGTTTTAATAAAAAACTTCAAAATGAGCAACTCAAAAGCTCTAACGAACAACAACGGAACCTTAACGAACAACTTATCTCTAACCCATTAAATAGCGGGATAACCGAGCATACACTTGATTCAATGGTGTGGTTGTGATGGCAATGCTCCAGAATCGTTTCATGTTAATGAAGCGTTAGAGGAGGCAGCGCACACTTGCGTTATCTTTGTTTAGAAGCGAAACATTAGGGACATGAGCACACTCACCCGAGGTGACCAATACAGTCACGGCGAAATTTGACGTAATTATGACATATTTCCAGGTGAATCATAGCCATTCAAAGGCAGTATTTGACATATAATTAGTGTAATATTAATACACAGATTGGATAGCAAAACAGCGTAAACAGGATACACAATAGTGAGTCGGAAAATGTCAACTGGCTCGCGAAGCGGTCAGGAGGAAAAGAAAGAAACGGTGGAGGAAGAGATTAAATGGTAGTTGGGACGTGCTTGGACTCCAGTATTGTGACGTAGGCAGTGCGATAGACAAACGCGTCACTACTGCGCGCCTGACACAATACGCCAAACCCTAGCTTCTCGTGTTATTCAATATTCTTCTAAGCAAAGGTGTGAATAACACTTACTTAGAAAATATCACAACCGCGCACATAAAACACTACCACCCAACACAAGCTTTCCTGTGCTATTCATACCAGAGATGCGTATAATTAATACTCGCTTAAAAATATCACTATCACTACGGTGCACATGAAACATAACTGCCCAACGCCCGCATCCCTATGTTATTCCTGCAAGAGTGTTCGGATTCACTAAGCATCACGGTGACGCGAACCACATAATAAACTTGTCAATATTTGATTACCTGTAATGATATTACTTCCGGAACTATGCATTACCTAGACTTTTGAAATATCCAGCGTATCACTTAAGTCGAATAGTCGTGTTGCCGGACGTCGGAACTTTCCACTTGTTCAACACTTTTCAGAACACTTGCATCAACACTTTCAAAATTAGCGATGTTCCAAATTTCATACAATTTCCCATCAGAATTAAGCTAGGATTTTCTGAGCTGTTTAGTTGGGCCATTGTTGCGTCTGAGTGCGCTGACGAGCTCGCTGGCTAGTTCGGAGAAGAGTCCGTTCGGCGAACTTCCCTGACGTTCACGCGTGACCAAACGTGCCCAGCTGAGTCTCGCATGCAGCACAGGCATCTGCGTGGACATTGTCTACTTCGCGAAATTCGTGGTGTCCTCCATAGAACGAATTTTCTCCTTCATGCATGCATTGTCTCCTTCACGCACTGCGTTGTCACATTCAAGCAATGAGTTGTCACATTCATGCAATCCGTTCTCTACTTCACGCAATACGCAGTCTCCTACACGGAATGCATTGTCGCCTTTATGCAATGCGCGGTCTACTTCAAACAATGCGTTGTCGCCTCCGTGCAAAGAGTCGGGTCCTTCACGCAACACATATTGACCTCCTCACAACGAAATTACTTTTTCACGCAATACATTGTCGCGTTTACTTGATGCGTCGCGTTAAAATAATGCAGTGACTTCTCACATTTCATAAAAAATCATGTGAACCAAAAAAATGTCAACTTACGTCTTCACAAAAGAGCGATATCAGAAAATATTTATGGAGATCTGAAGACATTATACGAGAACGACGCTGGACGCATGACAATGCTGGGCAGGCATGATGAGGTAATTAATTATCTTCAAGAGAGCAGGCGCAGGAAGCAGCCCCAGCAGTCAGGGACCGGTTGCCCGCTTCATATGGTGGCTGGTATAAGCGAGGGTAATAATCAGTGGCCGCGGGAATTGGCATGATGTGAGGAGCATGATGCGGGATCTGACATGATGTGACAAGCATGACGCAAGAGCCGGTATGATGAGATGAGAATGACGCACAGACATGCTTTGCTTAACTATACCTGTACTGTGCGTTTTTCAACATGACACGATATTTTCATGCATAAGACATGCTATGTCGATACCTAGCTACCAACGTCAGACACGATACCTACCAGCATATAAACTACGATTTATTTTACCATCAGTCACAATACCATCTAGCATTAGTCACTGTAATGAAGTGTTGCTGCAAATTTCCCACTACTGTCTGTCAGACTATGAAGTTTAAGTAGGACCGACTCTGACGTCGGTACGTGTTAAGTTCAGTATAGCCGTCAGATACTATGCCGATCCCGACTTGCGTCCTGGTTCCTCTCTTATAGGATTTTGACTCAGACGCCAGGGTGAGTTGTGTGCTATGGTGGTGAAATCTAGCTTGAAATACTTGATGGAATATCGTGATTTTTGTGTATATACGACTTGTCTTGCGTAGATATTTACTTTTGTTTCCTGTTGTAGGATCGTGCGTTATTCTCGGATCTCAATGCTCAGAGTAACTATCCGCTCAGTCCAAGCTCTTGCTGATAAAACCAATAGGGAAGTTGAATTTAATTTCCGGTCATTGGTGGACGTGACAATTAGACCATCCGAACTTTGAGGTGACGCAATTGATTAGCTATTATTCAAGATTAGTTCGTCACAGTCACGGTATCTCACAATATACAGGGGTTAGACAAAATTAGGGAAACACCCGAGAAATTTTTAAACAATTCAAACAAACTTTTTTAGCAATTCCATCTGTATGGATCGGGGGACATTACTGTCTTGAAAGATGACGTACACAGTGCTTTTACCATTGCATGAACTTGCTCCTCCAAAATACCTAAATAATCACAGCAGTTTATTCTTCCATGTAGAGAAATCATTGGTTCGCCGGATTTCCAAGAAATAGTACTCCAGAAACATCACAGATCCCCAGCCATGATTCACGGTTGGAAGGAAGCAGTCGGGATTAAATGACTCTTTTGGCTGTCTCCAAACGTAAACTCGTCCAGAGGTTGGAAATTAGGTAAACGAGAATTCGCCAGAGAAAATCATATTTTTAACTGCTCGTGGTACCAATTCTGGAGGTTTTTTACAACACTTTATAAACACTACGAAGCAATTTTACTTGAAACCAGAGGTTTTTCAACTGCAGTTCTTCCATATAGAACCCAGATCTGTGCAGCATTCGGCGGACAGTCTTTATTGAAACTGGGTTCTGTAGGTGTCCATTGAGGTCTGCAGTAATTTCAACAGCAGTGGTCTTTTCGATTGTCCCTCACTGTTCGATTTAGTTACCAACGGTCTCTCTGAGACAACTTCGACCTGCGGCCAGACCTGTGCTTCGCTGAGGAGGTTTTTGCTTCTGTTTCAAAAGCAGTCATTACTTTTGAGACAGTACCTCTAAAAACATAAAGCATTCGGGAAGTTCTTTCACACTAGCATCTGACTTACGGGCACCAACAATTTGACCTCTTTGAAAGACAGAGAGGTCTGCCATTTATAGGTTTTAGACACAAAAATTTACTAAAAATATTTGTGCAAGGATAAAATATTAATTAGCAGAAACAATGAACAATAAAACATAAAAATGTCAAGTTTTCATCGTTCGTAACATGTTAAAAAATTACGAAATCAAAAAGTGAGGTGTTTCCATTATCTTGTCCAACATCTGTAGGTCAAGCATCTAAGTATAGCATCTGCGTACGTCACAAATACGATTTGCAGATAACGCGATAAGCAGTACAGTTGTGACAGTGAGCACGACAAGATAACAGTTCACAGCACACGATTGTCATGCCACTTCACATCCATGACGCGGGCAAATTCAACAATCAAACGCGGTCAGGTCACGAGGAAATGAATGATGAAGTCGTTTTCAACTAATGCGTTTTTTTTAATGTCAGTTCTTTTTGCATCATGTAATGCAGCTGCTAAATTGTCAATAGAGCGAAGATGTACCTCAATAAAATTAACGAATTAAATTAAATTCTTAGAAACCACACAGATCTTGTTGGCATTTCCTCTCTCTACTCTCTCTATAACCAGCCTCACTCCAGTAAGACCAATATCTTCTCTTGCTTACCGTAACCATCTTTAATAGCATCTGCATTACCACCACATAAACAGGCAAACCGTCAGCGCCAAAACCACAATAACTAAATGCAAAACGTCGTGGCATTTCAGGTGCTGGCCCGTCGGCAGGTCACACGTCGTGGCTTATCAGCTGCTTGCCGATGGGAGCGTCCCAGGTCGTGGTTTATCAGCTGCTAGCCCGTCGTCAGCACGTCCCACGTCGTGACTCATCAACTGCAGGCCCGTGGGAACGTCCCACGTCGTGGCTTATCAGCAGCTGCTGGCCCGTGGGAAAGTCCCACGTCATGGCTTATCAGCTGCAGGCCCGTGGGAACGTGTCCCACTTCGTGGCTTATCAACAGCAGGCCCGTGGGAACGTCCCACATCGTGGCTTATCAGCAGCTGCTGGCCCTTGGGAACGTTATTATATGTCGCGTTGTAAGAGCTGGCATCCGATGGGCAGGTACCACGTCCAGACACATCATCTCCCCTCCTCCACGTGCACCCGTTCTAATTCGTGCAAATGCATGCATGTAAGTTGCATCTGGCGTCACGTCGTACAATCAAGCTACGTGCTTGTGAT